TCTTCATCTAGTTTTTCTTCGGTAGGCAAAGCTTTTGATTCTGATTCAATATCAGAATTTTGGGAAGAGTTTCAAGCCATCCAAACCACTTATTCCTCTGTCAAAGAAGAAAACAGTAAGCTTAAGGTTGAGATTCTTGACTTAAGAAAGGAGGTTGAGACCAAAATCAATCTTTTGATTAAGGAGAGGGATCAGCTGGAAGCTGAAAATGCTTCTCTTCTCAAGAGAATAAGAGATATAGAGCCCCTTGAGATTAAGTACAAAGATTACCAGAAGGCCCAGTCTTCCATGGAAAAGATTGTACTTGATCAACAAATTGGCGTTGGTTTTGGTCTTGGTTATGGCTCAACAGAATCAGGTGAGCCTTCCATAATGCCTAGCACCAGGGTTGCTACGGCAGATAAGGTCATAGTGCCACTAATTTCTAGCCCCATTTGCCAAGGTAGTGTATCTGGTACTAAGGTTGTTCATGAGAAGGTCAGACCAGATAAGCAAAAGATAAAGGTTCAACGCAAACAAAATTTGAAAAATAATGAACCTGGCAGAAAACTTAACAACAAGAAAAGCTATCCAAATAACAGAAATCAAAGACAGAAAGACAAATATCAAGAAAAGGTAAACTTCAGGCAGAAGAGGTTGGCTGGTCAACCTCATAAGCCCAAAGCTAACCGCCCCTCTGCTCTTGATAGTATATGGGACTTCTACCCAACCAAAAAGGCTATGCAGAAGTACGTATATATGAAGCATGATCCTCACAAGCATCTGCCTAAAGTGAATCACACCTCCGTTTACTATGACTACCAGGTGGACAATGGGTACCACCCACCAAGGTTTCACTTGATGAGACCAAAGTGGTACCGGTTGCCAAGACTGCATAACCCCCTAGGACCCAACATTGCTTGGGTACCTAAATCTTCCTTTTATTAATACAGGAACTGTGTGCTAGAGCAATCTTTGAGCAACACCGGTATATTGATAGTGGATGCTCCAGGCACATGACAGGTGACAAGAGTTGCCTGGCAGAGTTCCAGAGATGCAAAGGGCCAAAAGTCACTTTTGATGGCAATGATAAAGAGAAGGCCAAACAAAAGGGAAAGGCAAGCTGATCAGGAACCAAATAATCATTGATTGTTTCATATGTCAAAGGCCTGAAATTCAACTTGCTAAGTGCTAGCCAGTTCTGTGACAAAGGCTACACTGTTGAATTCTCCAAATAAGGTTGTTCTGTCAAGCATGAGACAACCAAGGAAGTGGTTCTGACAGCTACCAGGAAAAGAAACATATACGTTGTTGATTGGTCAACTGCAAAAGAATGAATTTGCCTGATAGCCAAAGGAGATTCAAAACTTAGTTGGGAATGGCACAAGAAGCTGAGTCACTTTAATTTCAAAACAATCAACAAACTAGCAAGGGATCACATTGTTGATGGACTGCCCAACATTGTGTACAAGAAGGAGAACCTGTGCAGTGCATGCCAGAAAGGAAAGCAAGTGAAGAACTCCTTCAAACCCATTGCCGGAGATCTTTCTACAAGTCCTTTAAATCTGATCCACATGGATTTATTTGGACCAGTTGAAACTCCAAATGTTGGTGGAAAAAGATATACTTTAGTCATGGTGGATGATTATTCGAGATACACTTGGACAATCTTTCTGAAGAAAAAGAATGAGTCTCTACAGAAACTACCATCTCTGTTGAAGCTCCTACAAAATGAGCAGAATCGGAAAGTCAAGACTATCAGATGAGACAAGGGAACAGAGTTCGTCAACAAGGTCATAAAAGATTTTTGTGACCAGAATGGAACCATGCACCAACTCTCTGCAGCCAGAACTCCTCAATAGAATGGAGTTGCAGAAAGAAGGAATAGAACATTGAAGGAAGCTGCAAGGACCATGATTGCTGAATCTGGTCTACCTCTCAGATATTGGGCTGAAACAATCAACACTGCATGCTATACTCAGAATCGGAGCATGATTCACAAGACTCATCAGAAGACCCCCTATGAGCTATGCAAAGGAAGAAAACCGAACATTAGCTACTTTCATGCATTTGGATGTAAATGCTATGTACTCAACAATGGAAAGGAACATCTCAAAGTGTTCCAAGAAAAATCTGATGAAGGCATGCTCTTAGGTTATTCAGGCACAAGCAAAGCCTATAGAATACATAACAAAAGGATTTTACTTGTTGAAGAATCTACACGTCAGGTTTGATGATCACAACTCTGTTGAAGATCTATCAAAGAAACTAGAAAAAGTGAACCTTGAAGAAACACCAGAAGTGGTCACATCAGAAGTGGTCACATCAGAAGTGGTCACACCAGAAGTGGTCACACCAGAGTTGGTCACCAACCCTGCTATACCAACTCACATTCATAATCCCATTCTGCAAGACAAAGTTAGTGATGAAGACTCAAAAGACGAACAAGAAAGACCTGGACAACCGTTATGAGAACCTGATTTAACTTTGTTAAGAGATCATCCTTCAACCCAAATGATTGGACAAATCAGAAGTGGAGTACAGACCAGATCTGCTACAACAAGAAGAGAAGCAATGTTTGTCTGCTACATATCTCAGATGGAACCTATGACTATAGAGAAGCTCTTGCAGACTCAGATTGGATTAATGCAATGCAAGAAGAGCTCACTCAATTTGAGAGGAACAAAGTGTAGGAACTTGTCCCTAGACCAAAGCACCAGAATATCATTGGAACCAAATGGGTATTCAAGAAAAAAGCTGATGAAGATGGCAACATTGTAAGGAATAAAGTGAGGCTGGTAGGCAAGGGTTACTGCCAAGAAGAAGGGATAGATTTTGATGAGACCTTTGCACCAGTTGCCAGACTAGAAGCCATCAGAATATTCCTAGCCTATGCTGCCTACAAAAACATCAAGGTCTACCAGATGGATGTCAAAAGTGCATTTCTGAATGGAGATCTTGAAGAAGAAGTTTATGTGGAACAACCACCAGGTTTTGTCATTCCTAATCAATCTTCTTGTGTCTACAAGCTTAAGAAGATCATCTATGGTCTTAAGCAAGCTCCCAGAGCATGGTATGACACACTGTCCCTATTTCTAGTAAACCATGGGTTTACTAAAGGAAAGGTTGACAAGACTCTATTTCAAATATCTGTTGTTAATCATATTCTGTTAGTACAAATATATGTTGATGATATTATATTTGGAAGTACTAACGCAGAACTGTGCAAGAAATTTTCACAAGTTATGCAGAGTCAGTTTGAAATGAGTATGATGGGAGAACTGAGCTACTTCCTAGGACTGCAAGTCAAACAAATTCCAGAAGGAATCTTTATCAACCAAGGGAAGTACACCAGAGACCTAATCAAGAAGTTTGGAGTAGAAGGCAAATCCTCAGTGAAGATTCCAATGAACACTTCTCAAGGAATTGGTTCGGATGATGAAGGCAAAGATGTTGATGCAACAACATACAGAGGAATCATTGGATCTCTTCTCTACCTAACTGCAAGCATACCAGATATATCATTCTCTGTTGGAATCTGTTCCAGATACCAATCAAAGCCCAAGGAGAGCCATTTAAGTGCTGCAAAGAGAATCATCAGATACATCAAAAGAAATCCAAATGCAGGCCTATGGTATCCCAAGGGAGGTAACTTTGAACTATTTGGTTACTCTGACTCAGACTTTGCAGGTTGCAGGTTAGACAGGAAGAGCACCTCTGGTCACTACCAACTGTTAGGTGGGAGACTTGTCTCCTGGTTTAGCAAAAAGCAGAATTCAATCTCAACCAGTACAGCAGAAGCTGAGTATATTGCTGCTGGAAGCTGTTGTGCCCAACTTCTGTGGATGAAGCAACAACTCAAGGATTATGGAATTCATGCAAAGGATATCAAGCTGTTGTGTGACAACACCAGTGCCATTGCAATCACTCAGAACCCAGTGCTTCATTCCAGGACAAAGCACATTGAGGTCAGACATCATTTCATCAGAGATCATGTAGAAAAGAAGCATATCTGTATGGAGCGTGTACCAACTGAAGATCAGCTAGCGGACATTCTAACCAAGCCTTTACCTGAGGCAAGAGTTAACAAGCTAAGGGAAGAACTGGGAATGATGGATGATCCTCCCAGAGATGCATGAACTAGAATTACCCTGGACCAGAACTGCTATATCTGGACTAGAGAACCTTTCATCAGAGTACCCCTGTCTCTGATCACCAGAGTACCAATCTTATCAGAAGTTCATCAGAAGTGGTTGTGGACTTAGTTATTTTTCGAGGTACGGGCAAGACCTAATTACTTGAACAGTTTTTTTTACAATTTTACCCCTGATTATTACTCCTCTAACGGAAACATTTTCCGCCCGCATTTCTTTAATTGCTACCTCGAAACCACAAATTATCCCAAATGTCCACTAACCCAAAGCCTTTTATACCAACCTTCTTCAACCTAAATCGCTACTGCACTTCATCTCTCTAAAATTGCTTTTGCTCTCAAGCTTTCAAACCTTCCCACAACTCTCACTCTGAAAATGAACTTCATCAACATCAACGATCTCACTAAGGAAAAAGTGAAAACCCTCATCTCCAACATTGTAACGGGCATGAAAGTGGATATGACTGCAATGCCACTACTAGCAGAAAACCAGAAGAGGATGACGAAGATCATCCAGGGAATGAATGAGTCCCAACTTAGCAAAGTGGTTGCTCACCCCTATGAGCACTTCAGTACGAAGGACGTGGCCGAGTTCTACCTCAACGCCAACATCACCAAGAACGCCGTTCAATCCCAGGTGCAGGGAAAAAGCATCATCTTGAATGCAGATGCCCTGAACGAGTTCTTCGGGGTACAACTGGACTCTCAAGATCCAGAAACCCCCACTCTCATTGACTTAGAGTCTGTGGATGTTTCCACTGAGGCCTTTGTGCAAACCTACTGCCGCCCTAAGGCCGCTGGACTAGAAAAGCTCTACATGAAGAAGTTCCTGCTGAAGAAGGACTTCGAAATGTTGGTCAGTGTATTGCACAGATGCCTGTGGTGCAAGATTGGTTCAATCGATGAGATGAACAAGGCCAATGCCAAAGCAATATTCGCAGTACATCATGGCATGAACATCAACTGGGGCGAAGTAATCTTCGGTTCCTTGACTGAGTTCATCAAGAAGAAGGACCAGAAGACTGGCCTGTTCTCAACAAAGATGGGCCATGGTCTCCTCATCTCTGCCATCCTTACTGCTCAAGGAGTTCAACTCAGGGACCCCTCCCCAGTTGACCACTCCAAGACCATCTTCCTTACAGCCTCTCCCAAGTTGAATATTGCTATCTCTGATGAGCTAAAAAGGGAAGAAAGGCTAGAAAAGAAAAGAGAACAACAGGCTGCTAAGCCTAAACCTGCTTCCAAAAAGCCCATCAAGAAGCCCGTTGTGACTTCAGAACAACCTGAGCAGTCGCAGGTCGTAAGGGAAATAAGGAAGAAGAAGAAGAATGAAAAAAAAGCTGCACCAGAGGAGGATGCACCAGAGGAGGATGCACTAGAGGAGGATGCACCAGAGGAGGTTACATCAGAGTTGGTTTCTCGAAAGCCAATCAGAAAATCACCTGCTAAGAAGCAGAAGATGGAAAGAAGAAGAAAATTGGTTGTTCAGAGTGAGGACTCTGACAACTCTGGCCCTAAACCAATGAAGAAGAAGAAGAAGAAGAAGAAGAAGAAGAAGAAAACAATCTCACTTGCTAAGGGACCAGAAACTCAGGGGGAACCTGGACCAGATGCTCAACCCTCATCTGTCCCAGAAAGGCCCATCGTGGACTCTCCACCAGAACCACAAGCAATTCCTGTTAGAATTCCAGAAACTGACTACAATGATGTCCTTGATAGACAATTTGAAAGGGTTCTAGCATGGAGAAGATGGAGAATGGGGCCACTTCAAAAGATCATTCAGTACTTTGACTCCTATGAAGCTGAGGAAGCTGCAGTTCTTCACTGGGTAGGCACAGAAGATGTGTCTCAATGCTTTGACCTTGCATTTCTCATATCTGTCCTACTGAGAAAGAAGGAAAGATATCAAGGTAAAGCACCTCTGATCTCTTCTTCACCAGAGCAGCATGTGAAGGCTTTAGAAAAAGATGAAATGGCTGACTTTGAAGTCTGGATGATAGAGAAGAAAAGGAAGGAATCTCTGATCAAATTTCGCCCAAGTGCACATGGAGAAGGAGAACCCTCCACTGCTAACGACCTTCCATTGCCCATGGAGAAACTGATTAAAGAATGGAGAGACTCACAGTTCAAGGAAACTGTCATGGAGGTAATTCCTAATTCCCCTTCTGTTCATAACTCCACAGAACTCCTTCCTCCCTCTCCTAAATCCCCTCCACTTGTTATAATCTCACCTATCAACACTCCACCAAAATCTGTCCCTCCCCCTCATTCAACCTCTCAGCAGAAAACCTCAGCCAAATCTCCATCCACACCCAAACAGAAAACCCCTTCCCCTCTGCAATCACCCAAACAACCAACCCCACAAAAGTCTAAATCTACCTCACCTTGTAAACAAGCAACCCCTACCAGAAACCGCTCACCTTCACCTCCACCACCTCAACCCATTCCTCACCAGAGATCCCCCATTCACCAGAAGACCTCTCACCAGAGATCCCCCATTCACCAGAAGACCTCTCACCAGAGAACCCCTACTCACCAAAGCTCACCCCCTCAGCAGAAATCCAAGTCCATCTCTAGAGCTGCTAACCCACAGAGTTCTCCTCAACACTCTGTGGCATCCAAGCCAAAGAAAGAGCATATCATCAAGGTCCTTTCTTCAGAAGATGATAATGGTGGATTCCTTACCTCATCTGTCGTTGTTGATCTTACTTCTAAGAGGAGGAAGACACCTCCCAGAGACAACTCTCCTAAACCCACTGACACAAATCCTCCATTACCCAAGAGCAGAGGTTTGGAGATGCCAGGGTTTACACCAGCAGAGCCTCAGATTACCTTCACTCAGTTTGTTGCATCTGCAGAAGAATTTGGTGATCAGATGCTAGAAAATATGAATCACCTTATCCGCATTAATGACAACCTCAACCAAGGTTTACAGCAGTTATCAGAGCAGGTTGATTCTCTGACTGAGACCCTGCTTGCATTCATGAACTCCTCAAATAACAAGATTGATGCAGTCTCCAGGGAAGTGGATGGAATCAACTATGTCCTCTACTTCCACTCCCAATCTCTCAACAAGCAAAACGAGCAACTTAAGGAGATAGCCGAATCCATAGATATTCTACAATGGAATGCTGATCAATCCTCAGAGAGATTTATGGAGATAGGGACTCTCTGTAAAGAACACAAGGAGCAAGCCTCTAATATTCTGAAGAATGACAAGGAGCGATACCAGAAGATGGTACTCCTTGAAGCCAGCACTCAGAGCATTCAATCTACGATGGAGAGATAATCGAGTTTGATTGAGGGACTGGCCTCTGTTACTCAGACCTTGCCTGAAGCCCTTGAAGAAATCAGAGATGCTAAAGCCTCAGAATTCTCAAAAATTGAACTTCTCCTTGACGATCTTGTTGATGCCAAAAAGGCGGAAGAGACCAGAGAAGAAGAAGGCCCAAGCACCAGAACTCTATCCATCAGAACCCCTCATCTGTTGATCTTGCCCCTTACTTTGAAGCTGCAAAGAAGAAGAAGCTAGCTGCTGCAGGCATCAGACCCCCTCCCCCACCTCCTAAAAGCTCCAGGAAGAAATCTTCGACCTTTTCATTCAATGAATGGATGAAAGGTGGGATGTCAAGTCCAGACAGAGCTCAGTTCACTCAGATGAAGAAGCTCATGACTCCACTACAACAAGAGAATCTATTCATGGACAGTGATGGACTTGTCCAGATCAACCATGGTGGTTCTTTACAAGAAGCTGAAATCTTGTGGCAAATGAAGGTCATTCTAGGCAAAAACATATCAGAAGCCGTGAGAAACTATTTGGACTGCAAGTTAGAGCCTCACTGGGCAGAATGCCAGAATCTGAGGAATCTAGCCTCCATCAGAGCCAAAGTCAATGCAGAGCTCAAGAGAATTGATGAAGCTGATGCACAGGTAGGAGAAGAAGACTCTTAAATTCTTCTATCTCTTGTATTTATTTTCTATGATAATAAGATACCAACTCTGCCTCTACTTTGCATGGCATATTCAATTATGTGTTCATATTTGCTTTCTGTGTTTATAATTGTTTCCTTCTCTGATACCTTTTTTTATTGATTGCTATCTGAGTGTACCGCACTCTTACTATTTTCCTATGCTATGTTGCCCACCAAGATTTTAATGAAAGTTCTTGTACTTTATTCTTTTATGGTGAAGGCACTTCTCTGGAAATAGTTAAAGAGTTTTTGCATCATCAAAAAGGGGGAAATTGTAAGGAATAAATGTAATTAGATTTTGATGATGCTAGGATATTTAGAATTTGAAAGTACCCCAATAGAAATTTTGTATTAGAAATTTCTTTGTAAGTATTAGCATAGTCGAAATGCCAAAAACCCTCCTGGTCTTCTTGATCAGAACATCTACCAGAGTTGCTCCCGGAGTTGCTCACCAGAGAAGCTACCAGAGTTGGGTACCATAGTTGGCATCAGAGGCAGACATCAGAGTTCGGACCAGAAAGCCTCATCAGACTTACTCATACTTAGCAGAATTCGAAGGCACTTTCCAACGGCCGTGAAACTAACGGGAAATTCCCTAACTGCTAGGAGCCATTCGACGGAAACATGGTACTGTACACGCATTAAATGCTCAATTAATGTTGTACGTACGAAGAAATATTTAAAGCTGATGATTGACCATGCGGGTATCTTTTCGCCCCAAAATAGCAAGTCGAAGGTCCAATTGGTCAAATCAACAGTACAAGCATTTAATGAAGCTGTCTTCTACACTCCAACGGGAAGACTGCTCCCAGTATATAAGATACACTTCGAAGAACTATAGGGTAACTTTTCTCTCTACATCTTGCAAAAACGACACCTTCAGCATCCAAGCTTTCTTTAGATTTCAAATTCATTCACTTCAACAAGAAAGGCTTACGTTGGAAAGATATCAATTTCTTATTCTCTCATCCAACAAGAGAAAAGTTCCTCCAGTTCTTCAACACTTCGAAAGCCTCACTTATACATCATTTGTGAAGAAGCTACGTTGGAGAAAATCGTTCTTAAAACAAACACTTCTTGAAAAAGAAGGGACGTCTCAAACTAACTGGAGTAAGTGAAGTGGGGATACTTCCAAGAGACTCAAAGAAACGAGACCAGCCATCAGGAAGCAGGACTGCATCCCGGGTGGCAACTAGGCTTGAAGAAGACGATGAGTGCTTCTTAAGTGCTAGGGACTAAGGCGTTGTAATTGTTAACTTACAAGCTTAGTGGAACAGTGGAGTAGAGGAACACGTTGTTCCTTGAACCACTATAAAAATCCCCGGTGTCATTTACTTTACGCATTTACTTTCTGCACTTTAGACTTTGACTGCATAACTCAAAAGGTTGGACTCTGTGTCCAGCAGATCTTCCTTAAGAGTTATCAGAAAGGCATTTGCCTTAGTGTTTTTCTGAGGCTACCCGGACAGAAACCAATCCGCTGCCAGGTCCAGCTCTGCCATCAGAACTTGACCTTCTCTGTCACCAGATTTCGACCTTCTCTGATAAGTCAGTATTGACTTAGAGAAAAGTTTTGAAAAATCCTGAACAGTCTATTCACCCCCCCTCTAGACTGTTCCTAATATAAACGGGGCAAACAATAATCTTAGAGGGAATAATTATATTGGTTAAACCAAAAAACCGCTTGTGTTGAGGTTATCAATCTTAATTGATTTCATCAGATGACAAATGAATAAATTAGATAGAATAACTGGACCTGAGATTCTCGTTGTGACAGTCGAGAATACTCACCTCGGATTACAAGTTATAGCTCTTAATTTATTTCATTAAATCAATCGAATGCTACTATTAAGATCAACATATGGCGCTTGTTCTATATTAATGATTAATTAATAGTAAGGACTATTAATGAACTCGTCTTGTTATTAATAGCTATTCTAGATGAATTGGAATTTCTGCACAATTAAGTATTCAAGAAGAATAATTAAAGTAGTAACAATGATCAATGAGCATTTCACTAAGTGGAAATTAGCAAAACCAAGGTTGATTACCTTTGATATTTTATTTCACTCATTTAAGTATTTTATTTGCTTTCTCAATTATCAAAATATCCAATTCCCTCTTCCGTTTACTTTTATTTATTACACTTACACATTCGAGAAAAGCAGCTTTCCATGTGGATACGAACTCTACTACGCTATACTATGGTATTAGTCCTTAGTAGTGAATTTAAAGTGTCTTCAAATTTAATTTGCAATCATTCACATACAATGAAGTTTAGAAGCCTTAGCCTTTTGATTCAGTTTCTCATGTTTTCTAACTTCAGCACTAGAATGAGAATTCACAACTCTAAAGTCATCAGAAGAACACTTAGAAGAATAGTGCGTGACAGAGCTAGATGATTGAATGCTTGAATTTGAACTTTCTTTAAAAATGCTCTTTGAAACATTAGAGGAGGAGGTTGTGTCTGTACTCGGGGCATTTTTGAAAAAATAAATCTCATTTAAAAGTTGTTCTTCTTCTGTTTTGAAAACCTCTCTTTCAGTTTCCAAAGATCTATGCAAGTCCACAAGTTTACGGATGACCTTTCAAATGTAAACATTATCAGTTTAGGTTTCCCTTCAGACTCAGACTCATTTGTTGGAGAAAAATATGATACATAGTCATCAGACATAAGAATTTCCTGAGTCTTATAACTAGTATTCAGTTGAGTGTAGTCAAACGACATTTCGACCTTAGAATTATGTTCTTTCTTTCTTTTTCTTCAGCATCAATTTCTGATGCTTCCATGAAGGACATATGTTTCGTAAAACCCAAGCCCATGTATCTAATGTCATACAACTGAGCACAAATGACATTCTTCATGTTGCGTGGTTTTGGAAACCTAATCCTTCTCTGGATTTGTAGAAAGTGGTGTCTTTTCGACTGATTTGAGAAAATGGTTTGATCTGTTTGACCTCTCTTAATTAGCAAGTAAGTCCTCCAACTCTTTAATCTTAGAATATAATTCGCAATGTTTATTCTAAAGATGTTCAAAAGAGGTTGATGTTGTGATACGCTCAAGTTTAGAATCTTTCAATTTCTTAGTTAAGTCAAAGACTCGTGCTTCTGAGTTTTCAAATTTAGATTTATGGTTGGTGTTCTCATTCTGTATGTTGGTTAAATGAACCATGAGTTTAGATTGATCAAATAAGTGTTTTCTCATGACACTTTCATTATTGTCTAAGCAGACTTCTAATTCCTTAATGGATATATGT